AGAGAGAGAGAGAGAGGATGACATAACCCTCTCTTTATCTTATTCTCTTTTTAATATAACACCTTAATGTTGTTTTTCCCATTTTACCCCTTTGAAAATTCAATGAAACCAAATAGACCCCTAGAGCCTTTAAAAATTCAATTGAGACCAAATAGACTCCTAAAGCCCCCTTTGAAAATTCAATGAGACACCAAATAGGCCCCTAAAGCCTATAAAATCAAAGGAAAAAAAGAAAAGAAAAAGCAAAACAAAAACAGAATAGACATTTTCTGCCGCCTATTGGGACTGGCTAGTCAACATGCCTATGTCGTACATTGCACTTGTAATGTCACATGTGAAAACCTTAATGCAAAAACTGATACTTCTAAAATCCGCTAAATGTCTGAATTCTTTCATATCATAAATATATGTATGAATTCAATATTTGACCCCAAAAAGCCCAGAAGTTGACAGGGTGAGGTCTTATTAGACTTACAGTTTTGGTTTGATCTGAATGATTCCAGTTCCATTATTTGTTTTGCTTATAAAATAAAATAATTGATAAGAGATGCGTTTCTCTTCAAAGCAAAACTAAACCGTGATTGTCCTCAATATGGGTTCAAGTCATGAAAATCAAATACCCTTGGAGCAATAAATGATAATGATTAGTTTATACATTAAGGTGTAGTGCGACTCTTGAGAATTACATGTGTACATAAGGGCATAGATCTCTTGACAGCCTTATATATTGAGCTTGAGGCAGGGCGGTAAAATACTATTCATTCTGTAGAATGCCTCAAAAGGGATTTTATCATTATTTTAACTTTATTCTGAAAAAAATTGTCTTGTTAGGTATGTTTGGTCTCAACTTTCTTTTTTTTCTTTCTCATTGTAATCTACTAAATAGCAATTTGATCTATTATTATTTGCTGTCTGATGGTGATTGGTTGTTTTAATCTTAGTTCTCTCAAAAAAGATTGTTTCAATTTGAATTGCAATATCTTAATGTGTTAGTGTGATAGTGGTGGTGTTGATGGTGGTGGCAATGTGCTGGTGGTAGAGCGCGTGGTGTAGTGGTGGCTTGATAGTGATGGTGGTGCTGCGGTGATAGTGACAGCGGCAATGGTGATGGTGGTGATGGGGAGGGAGGTAGGGAGGGAGGGAGGGATTGGATTGGATTGGAGGGAGATTGGAAAGGATTTAATTGCAGGGAGAATGGATTTTTTGCAAAGAGAGATTATTTTTTTGCAAAACAACTTATTCTAAAAAAAGTTCAATTTCGTGGCCCAATTGCAATTGAGAATCATTTCAATTTTGAAAATCAGACGCCCCTTGAGGTCAAATTGCAGTCAACCAAAATGGCAATTTGGCCTGGAAATCAAATGGTGCTGTACTCTCATTTCAAAACTGAAAATCAAAGGCCCCTTGAGGTTAAATTGCAATCAACCAAATGGTAATTTGGCCTGGAAATCAAATGGTGCTATAGTTCTATTATTTACTAACGGCGGTATTCGGTGTTTTGACTACTCTATAAGGGAGTTAATCCCTCACTTAAGGTTCAGTGGAATGCATTTTACATTTTCTCTCAATATTTCTACGGCTTGACACATAGTAAGTATTGTATGGCGGGCACTTCAATTCTTCTCCAGTGCACAACATGGTTGAGTGAATGAGTCTTGACTTTTAGGTTTTGTGATTTGAATCTAGGCCGTGATATATTGAAAAATAAATCAGACTATTAAATCTGACATCCTCATGAATAGCAGTTTTCTTGCTTAGCCATACCGTGAATTTTGGATTTAATGAATTGAAATGCCTTTTACAGGAGTTATGGTCATTATTGGAGTTCATGATGCCTGATATTTTTGAAACTGGAGATGTAGATCTGAAGAAGTTGTTGAATCCTGAAGATAAAGACCTGATTGCCCGCATAAAGTCCATTTTGGCGCCTTTGGTTTTAAGGCGTCTAAAGTCAGATGTAATGCAGCAGTTGGTTCCTAAGATCCAACGGGTAAATTTCTGTTGTTTGGTCATGTTGAAATTTCTTAGAATCTTCATAAGTTTATATCGACCTTTAGTTTCTACCTTCTTTGTATGCTCTTTCCTCTGAAAGTCTTCGTTTATAAAATTTTCTACAGGTAGAGTACTTATCCATGGAGACGCAACATGCTGTAGCATATAAAGAAGCAATTGATGAATACCGTGCGGCCTCTCAAGCTCGGATGATGAAGAATTCAGAGCTTTTTGTTGATAGTGTTTTTGGTTTTCTTCCAAGGCGTCAAATTTCAAATTATTTTATGCAGTTTCGTAAGGTGTTGCATTGGTCTGTTACTATATCCTTTTCCTAAATTGCAATTTCTTGTCTACCAAGCTTGAGATGTTTTATTGTTCTTGCAGATTGCCAATCATCCATTATTGGTCAGGCGCATCTACAATGATGGTGATGTTGTTCGCCTGGCCAAAATGTTGCATCCAAGGGGTACTTTTGGCTTTGATTGCACCCTGGAGAGGGTAATCGATGAGCTCAAGAGTTACAATGATTTTGCCCTTCATAGGGTTAAGTTCCTTAGCTCCATTCTCCTTTCAATTTCATTTTTGACAGATCGTCCTTTCATTTACTCTCCAGTGTACTACTTTTACTCTCCAGTGTACTACTTTTGTCATTTGCTAGTTTCAGACTACGTTTTTTTTTTGTCTAAATAGTCAAGTTGTTTGGTTTTATTTATTTATTTAATACTTTGTTTGCATATTTCATTCTACTTTTGCAAATTATTCAAATAAATAGTTGCTTAGATGTTCTTTTATATTGTTCAATCTACATATTTGTTGAGATGCTATTTCTCATATGCTAACAAGCCTTATGCTACTTATTTCTCGAGGTATTTCAGTTATCTCTGTTGGCACTTCTGTAACCAAAAAATGACCTCTCTGTTTTAAATCTTTTTTGTTGTTTCATCTTTTGATAAAATTAACTATGCTGTATTAAATCTGTAACGGATATTGTATTCAATCGTGTTACTGATATGCAGCTTACATGTGTATGACCACTTTACAAAACTGTGACTAACACAGCCAGTTCGTACACTTGGAAACTGGTAAAAAAGTCGGGGAGAGATCAACGGGGAGGGGGAGGCGGGAAAAGAAGAGAAAGAGGGGGGGGGGAGGGAACTACTATAAAATTTTGGACCAGTGTGCCATCTCTTGTTTTGCTGATTGCCTCTATTGTTCCATTTATCTTCTTTTATTCATTAAAATTTCTTTATTTTTGGCTTGAATAAAACTTTGCCTTTGAATACATTGGTGTGGACTTTTTGTTCTGACAAATTCATTCAATCACATTTCATGATCCCAAGTAAGGGAATGAATAATGGTGGCCAAGGCTAGAGGGTTGGGCTTCTTTAGTGAGATCCGGGTTGGCCTTGTCCAATGAGCACTTTGATTTTCTCAGGAAATAATTGTTGTTGGCCATGAAAAGGAAGTTATCCATACGTGTGGAAAAGAATTTGCACAACTTCTTCTGTAAATTACTTTGGGGAGAACTAATCTGACCCTTGATGGTTTGCTCTCCCCAGCTCTAATGTAATTGAAAGAAAAATAAGGATAAAAACCTGTTTCTGTTTTTTAAAGATTTTGAGATACTTTATTTTAAGTAATATTTTAACTTACAGTATTGTGTGTGGCAGCTTTTAGTTTTATATGGGGGCATGGGGACACTGGGAGCACTTGAAAACCGACATGTTTTGTCCTCTGCAAAATGCCAGGTATGTATTTTAATGCTTTTGATTGTATGTCAGCATTTGTGCCTGATTCTTCGGGAGTAGTGAGGTAATTACTATACAAGAGAGAGAGAGAGAGAGAGAGAGAGAGAGAGAGAGAGAGACGAGAGTAGTTAGTTTTTAGGTTTTTGTTTTAGTTATATGTATAGTAGTTATTTCGTTGTTCGTTTACTTAGTAAGTAAGCATATTGTTGTTAGTTTATTTTAATTTAGTA